TGGGCGTTTTCAAGTACGCTTTTCTTTTGCGACTCAACGTCGTCGTTTGACCCCTCGCTCCGGTCTTCTCCTCCTCCTTCTTCTTCATCATCATCTCCCCGAAGCGTGAAATACTGAGGCTTTTCACCATAAACTTTGACCATAATTAAGTACAGAGACATGGCGAATACTGTTATCCCAATCAAGTACCAGCTGAATTCAATGTTAACCAGAGACTTTGCTCGATGAAGAGCCTCGTCGTCCGAGCATCTCACCACCTGGTGGCCTTCCTCCTGGTTCATGAAACACCCTTTGGGTATCAACCCAGGAGTCCAGAGCATGAAGCCCATGGCGATGAGCCACACGCCTTGGAAAAATATACTCACAGATCGTACGAAGCTGACCAGGAAGCTCTTCGGGATGGCGATTCCGATGAGGGTGGTGGACAAAGAGACGAGTATCACGAGCTGTAACAGAAGGTGGGTACTGACCTTCCGGTCCCATGTGGTCGGCGGAGTGAAGGTGAAAGAGGAGAAGCTGCTGCGCGAAAGCGATGGCGCCGAGAAGCTGAGTCAGCCCGAGTTTGGTCTTCTCCGGCAAGGCGGTTCGGTCGAGAACGACGGCGAAGGCGGCGTAGACGAAGAATGTCATGGAGATGGAAGAGTGCTCGAAATTATGGAGATGGTTGGACGGAATTGTCCCGTCGGAGTCGAAGGGTTGGTGTTTGTCGGGTCCTATAAAGAGCTCCATGGATATGGAGGCCAGAGAGCCAGCCATGATGAGAAGAAGCTCAAGGTACTTGAGCTTAGTGGCGGGAAACCATGGAGGAGAAACATAAGACCCGGAATTAACAGCATGAAGCTTGATGTGGTTGAAGAGATGCCACAGACCAATCAACAGGAAGCCAAAACCGGGAGCTACATGGCCAACCAGAGTTCCCATGGGCGATAACGTTAATTTCTGCTACCACTACTGAAGCTGTCGTGTTGGGGGTTGGTGGGGGGTCTATCTCTTTTCCCGAGAAAGGGAGGGAAAATTTTTGAGGGATATGTGCAGGGGATGGTGCTGATGAGGCAAAAAGAGAAGACGAAGAGTGGGGCTTTAATAGGGAGATGTGGAGAGGTTAGAGTTGAAAATTGAGAAGGAGGGTCTAATCTCTGGAGGGTTCTAAAAGAAGGAGGCGTTTTGAAGTCCAAACTTGATTAAAACTTGATGGCTTGGGAAAGAAGAATAACTAAGGGAGGAGGGGCTGACCACATGACTTGTGACGAATGAGATGAGGTCGATGTGATTTTCTAGAATTGAATATTTATCAATCTGAATAATGTGGGCGCTCACAAATTTCACGATTGGCAGACTCTAAATGGTCCTCTTTTTTCCTCTTTTAATCCCAAATAATTTGAATATTTACTGCTCGCCTATTAAGTTTTAGTTTTTTTTTTGGCCAACAGTTAAGTTTTAATTAATCATTTGCTCATTTGGGGGAAACTTGGGAATTTTATATAATATACAGATTCCTGTGCTGAAGGGCGAGACAGAAAAACAAAACAAAAAGTCAGTGCAGCACCTATCCCTTGATCACCCGCCTTCCTATTGTCCTATATTGGTCGTACTATTATAATACTACCTGCTTCTCCCACTTGATACTATCTCTCGTTCTAATTGCAAATACTAGTTAACTATTTTGAAAAGATTAAAAAATTAAGTTAGTTATTTATAATAAATAGATATTATTTTTTTTAAAATATCTTTTATAATCAAATATATTTGTCAGAATTACTATTATTAAAAGAACTACCTTAAGAAAAAATAGATAAATATGAGAGACAAAGTAGATTAAGATCTTATATTTAGGATCAAAATAAAAGTTAAACAAGATCTTATATTAAAGACCGGAGGTAGTATGACTTTCGTTACTTAATATGATAGTTAGTTTAATTTTTAATTTGATCAAATATAAAACTCTAATTTATTCTGTGTTTTATATTTATCTATTTTTTTTAAAATAATTTTCTAATAGTTGCATCTATTACATATTCAGTTAAATAATAGTTTTAGTTAATACATGATTAATAAAAAAGGTATTTAAGGAAAGACAACATATAATTATTATAAATAACCAACTCAACAAACTTTCTTAATCTCAACTCAACAAAATTTCTTAATCTACTCAAATTAAGAGCTAATTGAATAATTTGAGTAGATTAAAAAAAATTTGTTGAGTTGGTTATTTATAATAAATAAGTATTATCTTTCCTAAAAATACTCTTACTAATTATGTATATTAGCTAGAACTAATATTTGATGAAACATTTAACATATGCAACTACTACAAGAACTATTTTGAACAAATAGATAAATATGAGAAATAAAGTGAATTGAGATTTTATATTTAGGATCAAATTAAAAATCAAACTAGTTACTTGTAATATTATTCACAAGAGAGTGAAAGAAAAAAAATATGTTTTTCACTCCTTAATACAAATGAACTCATGACTGGCTCTTGCCGCTTAAGTATGATCTCTTGAACTTGAGTCGGTGTGATTACAAAAAAACACATTTAAGAGTTATTTTTATTTTTTTTAATTTTTTGCCGAAAGGGTTGTTTTTAATTGGACTTGATAATATTTGAACGTAACTCAATTTAATTACCGCATAGCAAAAATACAAGTGATCTCATTAAATTTGTTATATAACTTGTAAGTGTATAATTTTATTCCCCATTTGTTGATCTATAGGTTATTATTTTCTGCGTGTGTGTATATACATATTAAATAGGAGTAATATCGAAAATGTTTTATAAATAAGATTATAGAAATATACATCACTCAAAGTCTTAAATGAGGATACATAAAAGTAATTGTGTGTATATATATACACACACACATATACGATCGAGTATCTACCTACTTATTTATAAACCCTTATTTAAATTTTTAGTTTGTTACTTTTTTTATGAATAGTTTGTTACTAAATATAAGTTCGAATTCAGATTTTGTTACTTATTTTTAATAATACTCCTAATTTTTTGGTCAGCTCAATAACACTCAGAATTTAAGTTTTAAAGTAATTAGGCTTTTAAAATAATGTAACATTAAATAGAGGATAAAAATTAAAAGATAATCCTTCGAAAAGCAGAGTAGGCCTCTGTTTTTAATTTACAAGAGTGAAATGTGTTTTATTTAATTTCAAATTTTCAATGATGTTGGCTCTAGAATTTCTTTTGGGGCAGTCAAAAATCCTTACGAGAGATGACTTAAAGATGTTTAACTTGGAATGATTTTCTAAAATAATTAAATGATACGTATCTTAAGATAATCCTGATATTTGTATACACGTGTCGATCTGTTTCTGACGGCGATCAGGAGTCGTTGGGCAACAAAACAGAGAGCTGGGCTTATCCTTTTTAATTAATAAACAAATCATTTATGATACGACGTCGAAGGAGTTTTCAATCATCACTTGTGATGGTGATAATGACGCCATTATCTTAATTTCCAAGTTCCAGCCCTCTCAACGGGCCAAACAACCTAAGTTTATAACCCTGTCAATCAAATTGCGTCTGCTATCATACCATTTAAGATACCTCATAGTATCTCCAATTATATAAACATACTCATGAGTCGCTCCAAATAAGCCTTTTGTTGAAGCGCCTCAATGTCTCATGACTAAGACTACTCGATGTTCTCAAATCTTGACGCAGCCACATGCCTCGGAGGCATTTTTGAGTTAGGAAAGAGAATCCCGTCAGATTCAGTCACATTCTATATTCACAGGAATATTGTGGTGTCCACTTCACAATAGAGAATTCCCTACAGACGTGTGATAAAGTCATGTGTATCCCTTCAATACTTGTAATGTTGGATTTTCCATCTGCGCTTTCACAAATCATACTGTTCAATTGTTAAAACTCATTTCATTATGAATTTAGAAGTCCAAATAACGTAAATAAATTATTAGATTATATTACCAATCATCCTAATGTTAAATGAGCAAGGAAAAAAAATAGACCCAATCGGTCAGTTCAACTAAAAAATTAGTAAACTAGGTAGTGGTTTGGTTTGATTTGAGTGCTGGATCGTTCATAAATTGAACTACTATCAACCCAGAATCGGGATGAACCAGTTTAGATGATTGTGTTAGCATTAATTATATTTTTTTCTTATTCAGCTCTTTATATCTCAGTCACTAAAGATTTGAATGAATTTTAATGATTTGTTGCTTCAATTTCTGGTTAGTGCTTGTGCTGGTTTTTGAGTATTAATGCAGAGTATTATTCAGCTAAAAAAAAAACATCAATAATTATTAATTTTAATTATTAATAAACATTCTCAATATTATTATACTCTGTTGTTGTTATAATCAAAATATTGTTGTACTTTCTTATATTATGTTATTAGTGATTATTAATGTCATTGTATTTTGTCATTTTCAATTATATTATATTATCTTAATATGATAGTTTGATCTTGAGTTGACCCCAATTTGACTCACTGACTCTTAAACCACTATCTTGATCAATTCAGTATCCAGTTCGTTTTCTTATTCCTTGTAAATAAGTGTCAAACCAGCTTATACTAACACCAAATTCTTAGGGTCCCTTCGGAGCACTGTGAATGGGGATATCCAATTCTTCATGCAACCGTCCAAGTTCCTATAACTTGGGTTATGGATAATATGTATAGGAATAACAACACGTAGATTATAAAGGGGAAATATATGTATTTGGGATAAGTATTTAAAAAAAAAAAAATCACCCTATCGTGGTCCCTTATTGTCTCTAACGAAATCAAAATCCCTATAATTTTTTCCTATATTAGTTTACACACTTGCGCGCTGGCAGGGGAAAAAAAGAAAGTTGCACACTTCGGCATAAAAATTTTGTGTATTATAGAAAATTTGAAATGAATTGTAAGTTGTAAATGAAACTACATTGACTCATGGACTTTATAGGTTATCCTGATTCACTCTTTTTCATATTTTCCAACGGCACGCGACGGTTTGTCCGGATCATTGTTGGTTATGTTTCGCCATGGTAATATGGTATTCGGCCGAATCCAGACCCTCATCCCACAAACCCAAAGTGTTTCTCATCTCCTTCAACTTCACTCTATCCTCCTAAAATCCGCGCTCGATCATGATAACGACTTGGTGAGCCAGATTGTCTTATCCGCATGCTCCATATCTGTAAATTGTGCCAAATTGGTTTTCGATAACATACCCATTGTTCCTCCAATTTTTGCTTGGAATACCATCATCAAAGCATTTGCAAAGAGTTCAACTCCAGTTGAATCTGTCAAGCTCTTTTGTCGGTTGCGAAGTTTTGGTCTTCAACCGGACAATTTTACGTATCCTTTCGTCCTTAAAGCTTGTGGCCGCTGCTCATTGGTTCGGCAAGGTGGGATGGTGCATTGCTTGACTTTGAAGACCGCTTTTGATTCGGATCGGTATATAGGCAATACCTTGTTGAAGATGTATGTAGACTGTGGCTACGTTGAGTCTGCAAGACAGGCGCTTGATGAAATGTCTGTTAGAGATGTTGTGTCATGGAGTTCAATGATTGCTGCATATATCGCCTGGTTAGTTGGTGAACCTTTCATTTGCTTAAAGCATATAGTTTGTTGGAATGAATAAGTAGTTTGCGAGAATGTGCATCGTGTGGCCCGGTTGGGAGATGTTTAGAAGTAATAAGCGTGTTGTATGAGTAACAAGCATGTGTTTTTAGTCAGTCGGCAGTCAGCATTCTGTTGATATAAATTGTTCACAGGGTTTCTATATTTCTTTCTCTTGGATAATCCAACGATAAACCTAATCCGAATTATAGAGGTACGATACAATCAAACCCAAACGAACAAAATGTTGAATTGAATCGTACCGGTCTCTACTGGGGTTATTACTCATTTTTGTACTTGCTGTTTTATTTTCCAATTGTTTCTTTAATTAAGGGAATAATAAATATATATTAGGAATTCTCTTACTTTAGTTTAATTAAGCTTGTTTCATTGTCTCTCGTGGCTTTTTCAGAGTTCTATGCAGTTCAGGTGGTTTTCTTGTTTTGGTCAATAACTCAGTATTAGGTCGTGTTTTGAGTGGCCTCGAGTGGGTGCAAACTTACTCTCTTTTCTTTGCCTCTCCAACTTCTTACTCTGCCACTGGAATCTAAGAACATTGCCCTAGTAATGAATCAGTTACGAACTTTATGGTACCTGATTGAAAGAAAAATATGCTCTTCATCATAGTAGTCGGATGCCTGAGTTGCGATCAGTATCTTCCATGAAAAACTTTGGAAAGTTATCTTTGTGTCTTATGAGATTACATCCTTTATTCTTTGCTTTGAATCTCAACCATCACTTTGGTGTTTGTTTTCTTGGAGGCGTTTTCTGGCTGGGAGGGGTGCTATTTTAATTATGATGTTCAATTATCACTATCAATTGATCTTCTTTGGCCTCTTTGTTTATCCTCTTTATGTGATGCTCTAATTTTGTACATTTCAGTTATTGATTCAAATATTGGAGATCTGATTTTTTCAGGATAGTTTTTCGTTCATGTGATTTTTAGCACCTTTCTAATGATTCTAATAGTCGCTGGATTCTTCATAAATTAGCGTCTACTACATTCTCATGTTTCTTTGACTATGCTGTTTGCATGTCATGTCTACTGGCCATACTCATTATCCCACTGACAAGTTTCTTTATAAGTTTAAGGCTCATTAAATTTAGTTGTTTGATTTGATGTACATAATCAGCATCTTATTGATGGCATTTTTCCCTCTTATGGCCATGTAAGCATGTGTTCCAATGCTCTCACGGTTGCTTTTTTTTTTTTTTTTGTTTTAAATGTGAAGCCAATACGGAAACTCTCTTTGAGAATACTTTGAATTCAACCTAATTAAATTTCCAGACTATGTTTATTCTTGGTTCAAATGTCTCAAACATTACTGGTTAAATGTTAGAATGAAGTTTCCTCATTGCCATATTAATAAATTAACGACCGTAGTAGTTTTCTTTTTGTCCCATAAAAGTCAGCCAAGTATACTTCTATGAGCTAAATCAGCGGAAGGGCTGAAGAATGATATGCATAAGCAAGCTAATGATGTATCACAATGACCTCTTTTTTACATGTAACTTGTGTTTTAATAAATATAGATGAATTAAACTAAGGTGCCATTTGCTACAGAGATGTTTTAGTTTCCCATCCACTTGAATTATGAAACATACTCCACTCCATTTCATACTTTAAGGCATTCTTTGGAAAGTCTCATATTCAATATGCAAGACATTTTATTAAATTTTAGGGGCAATTAATATCTTTCTACCTAAAATGACCCAAGAAGTATATCAAAATTACTTGCCTAGAAAAAAAGTAATCCTTAGAAACAAGTAATTAATGATTCATATTAAAGAAGGACAAAGTTGAAAAATGGGCTCCTAACTAATAACTGCTTCTTTGCCAAGCGTACTTCAAGTAAAAATGCCTTGTACTATGAAACAGAGGGAGCATAAAATATTGATCATCAGATGTATATATAAACTAACTAATATTTTTGTATTATAAATGACATACGCAGCATAAACTTTTAAATAGTGTATTTGTTAAATTCAAACATTTTATAAATAGGTTTCAAAGTGTCTGGAAAATGAAACATTGCTCATGCCACGTGCCATTATTTTGGTTAAAAGTTGGGGTTTTGAAAAAGAGATGGGATAGAAGGAAAAAAATTTTAGATTTTTATATTAACTCGTACCTTCTTATAATTAATGTGGAAGCTCCTCCTAGTTCTCAACTAAGAACTTTTCATGTCATAATAACAAAGGTTGTTGACATATGTGCAGTAATTTTGATAATCTCTAATTATCAAACAGAGCCAGTACTAGCTTTTTGGCTGTTGGGCCTTATTAGTCATTTCTTGAAGTAGTGTATTTATCCACTCATTCATATCTATCTGTTTGCAGCAACTCTCCTTCAGTTGCACTGAATGTATGTCAAGAGATGAGGATATCCAATGTAAAGCCCAACGCAATCACCTTCGTTAGTTTGCTTTCCGCTTGTACCCATCTGCTCAATATCAGTGCAGGGAAGTCCATTCATTCCTATATCATCAGGAATCACATTGAACTGGATGTTGCTTTGGGTACAGCCCTGTTTGAGATGTATTCAAAGTGCGGACTAATCGAAAAAGCCCTTCAAATTTTCAATTCAATGCATGAAAAGAACTTGCTGTCATGGACAAGCATGATATCTGCTCTTGCAAATCATGGACGTCACAAGGATGCTTTTTCTCTGTTCAGCCAGATGAAAGATATAGGACTTCAACCTGATAGTCTATCATTTTCCGTGATTCTATCAGCTTGCAGCCACATGGGACTTGTTTATGAGGGCAAGAAGTATTTTGATGAGATGGTTTCTTTGTACAACATAAAGCCGTCCATTGAGCATTATGGATGCATGGTTGATTTGCTAGGAAGAGCAGGCTTGATAGAAGAAGCTTATGATGTCATCAAGAACATGCCGGTGGAGCCTAATGATGTCATATTAAGGAGTTTCCTTGCCTCTTGCCAAAATCACGGTTGTTTCCCTAGTTTGGATGATAGGCTTCTCTCTAAATTGGAGCCTGAAATAGGGCCAAACTATGTAATTACTGCTAATATTCTTTCGCTTTCTGGTTCAAGTGATGATGCCAATAACTTGAGAGTAGTTATGAAACAGAAAGGTTTGATGAAAATTCCCGGTTGTAGTTGGGTGGATGTGCCAAATGGTTAACCAGAGCCGTCTTATTCCTTCCAGTTCTTTCCTTTTTCTTTTTTTTTTTAACTAAAATATAGAGAAGAGAGGCACATGCAGCCACTGCCTTTAGCTTTTAGGATTCACCATAAATTGTGTATATATAGTAGATGAATTCGACCAAACAATCAATTCCGTTCTAGTAGGGATTATGCTGGAGCTTTCAACTAAGTCCAGTATCTTACTGCTGTTAATTATGCCTGGATCATGACAGAGACAAAGGGACTCTGCTATCATGAGAGTGACAAGTCATGGCTCTTCCATGTAAGAATCAAGCTGGCTGGAATGTAAGATTATTCTGGGAATTGAACAGCCAGAATTATCTGAATATGGCCTGGGTATCTATATGTGAACGTTGGTGCAGGAGTATATCCAAAGGGTGTGTGTGGATGTAGTACTCTGAGGAGGCAACGAAATTTTTGAAGTCATTTAAATTACCATGCAATTGATGTGCTTTAGATTAATTTCATGAAGTAAAAAAAAATTAGGAAATTATATTTACTTACCCTAAATTTTAACTTTCCTCTCTTTTACTAAACAAAAAATCTCAATCCACCAGATCATAAATCTAAAAGTTAATCGAGAGAGTCGGATAATACATCATTTCGTTCAATCCTTTAAATCTATAATTTTCTTCCTAAACAGAGAATTCTATTATTGAGGCATTTTTTAATATAAATAATTAAATAAGTATTTTAGGCGCTTATTTTACGAATAAGTAACTAGATTTTATTAATTTTTGTAAATCAATTATTTAGATCATGTATTTAGGATTATCGAGTCAAGAGTCAATATTTGAATTTGAACTATCTTTTTACCTTTTTAACTTTTTTTTCCCCCACTTTTAACGTTGTGTACATCTCTTGTAAGGGTAAAAGAAAAAAGACACTTTAGTGTATATAAAATCAACCCCCGCATGGGTAAATACTCAAGAGATTGGAATTATGTTTATAAAATATTAAAGCAGCACTAATTAAAGAGAGACATTCTTATATAACATGCTTCTTTGGTCTTTTCAAGTGGCCTCCAACTGGTGAGAAGGAGCCATTTATTAGGCTCAAACCATCAAAGTCCAACTTCATGATGTATGGGCCCAAATTTCAAATTGTTCTGAAGGAAACTTGAAGCTTGAAACCGCCACCTAAAAGATGAAGCGCTCCCCTCTCCCCATATCCCTCAGCACAAAGTAAAAGTAAAAATATCAAAAGATATTAATCTCATTCCTTTTAATTAAGAAAACCTCTTTACATACATTATGAGAGTGTTTGGCAACCTCCAAATTATGATTTTAGAAGCACTTTTTCATAAAACGAGGCAAATTCCTCCACATATTTACTTCGTAAACTGTAAAAGCACTTTTGAAATCATGATTTGGTTTCTATCCAAACATCTCCTATATTCAATTATATGCGTATGCATAAATATAAATGGGACACATTCTATATCCCATCAAGGGGGCCCAGTCATCCTCAAGCAACGACTCTTTCAGCAATTATTATTGTTTTATAAAATCATCAGAGAACAGTTAAAAAAAACAGTGTGGCACTAATAATTGAGCGCAATATATAAAATGGATAAGCAAATAAGCCTACAAAAGTGAAAGGAAGATTTCTGATAATAATCCTAACATGAATTAATTAGCAAGTCGTTAGTCTTAACAGAAAAGGTTCAGAATAGTTAAATACGAGATCTCGAATTCAAATTTATATGAATACATAAAATACTTTTAAAACAATTATTTTTAATTGAATTCGACAATATTTAAATTTGCCCTCATCAGATGGTAATATTAAAAAGAATTATAGTAAGAATTGCGAAGCCTTGTTTGGAATTTGGCAGGGAGGGAATCAAATAATCCAAACGTCTGGTTTTGGGGCTCATGGCCACAAACAAAAAAGAGGCAGCATATTCACTCATGACTTCTCCCTTTTCAATTACCTTTATGTCCTCATCAATCATTTTCTCTTATTGTATTTTTAGAACTGTTAAGAAACATAATTATTGCATAGACACTGACTTTTGTCGCCACTGACACTGACAAATATAAATATAATCTTTTGTGTTAATTTTAATTAATAAATTAATATATTCATCATGAGACGCCCGTTTTTCAAAGATGTTGTTCTTCGTCCATTACACTTCTGGTCTTTATTTTATTTGGTCTTATTTATAAGATAAAGAGAAAAATATTTTTTAGTCATATTTATAGGATAGTGAGAGAAATTTTTGTATAGATATATAATTTTACTCCTCATTTATTATCATATTGATTTTGTGTACATAAGATGTAATGTATATTAAATAGAAATAAAGTTATAAACTTATTAAATTTTAAATGAGAGTTGATAAAATTTAAGGTTTTCTTTAATATGTGTGAAATATGCTGAAAGTATTTTATAAATAGGGCCAGAGGAGTATGTTATTGAGCTTTGAAGACAAGTAAATATTATTGGTAAATCTAATTTATTCAGATCAATTACTAATGCCATTGTTTTTATTTTAAAATATTCATTTATATCTGAAGATTTCAAAAAAAAGAAGGAAAAAAAAAAAGAGGAGAGCCAAGTGGTTTCTCTTTATTTTCTCTATTTCTTTCTAGTCTTAACATTAAATCAAATTTTGAGTGGTTTAAAGCAAGGGTCCTCACAGGATGGGAATGGAGACATCTTGTGAGTCTTTTTTTTTTTTTTAAATAAAAAAATCGCATCGTCGTTTTCATTTTAATTTTTTTTGTACAAAAAGTAATTAACCAAAGTCCTATTCCCTTCTAAATATAGTTTTAAGTATCCAAATAATATGTAATTAAATAATAGTAGTGAATACTTGATTTAGTTAGCAAAATAATCATCCTATTTTTAAGTTTTGACAAGTAGAGATGGATTACTTAAACTTGTTCTTCTTTTCCGTGTTTCAAAATTTCTCAAAGTAAATGTTACATGTGGAGACTATTATCCTTAATTTCAATTAAGTCTGAACATATGTTGACAAAAATACATATTATCATATCATATAGATTAAAACTTGTTTAAATCACATGTTTAAAAACATTTTTTTTCTTTTTTTAAATATCAAAGTAAAAAACTTATTTAAAGATGTGACTTCTATTTACTTTTTTAAACTTGATATTTATTTTTTTATATTGTTAGAATAGATAAATAAAAATAATCTATAACAGAAATTTTAAAAAATATATAAATATATATATCTTGGGACAGGAGAAGGCCATCCCGTGTCCTATCCTATTCAAGTTTCTATCTTGTTTTGTCCTACTTTTGTCCCATCCCGATTAGAACGGGATCATAATGGAACAGTATAAACAGCCTTGGTTTAAATATAATATTTTTTTTATTTTTCTTTATCTCAACTACTCATGTTAATTAATAGTTCAGATTTATTTAATTATTTTTCATCTTTTCCTGTTGAATAATAAGTTTATAAAAATGTTAAATCAAAATCCGTAAAATTGGATTTAATGGTTATGATGAAGAGGATCATGGAAGTAGAGCAAAAGTATTTATTGCCTACTTAACTTTATATTCACAAATTCATGCATGATCCTCCAAGGCACTCATGAGTTAAAATCCACGGTAGATTTTTTTTTTTTTTGGGTACAATAGATGGTACTGATTTTATTAGTAGATTAATTTATTTGTTGATTTGCATCTACTCTGAGGTGTTTGAATTAACTTTTTAAAAGTAATTTTACAATATCTAAAATAAATGTATAAAATTTTTTTTATCTTGATTTATATAAAAGTATTTTAAAGTAATTTTAAAGGTTTCCAAACTCTTCAAATTTAACAAGATTTTGGAATTTAACTTGATATTTATTAAAAAAATATAAAATGAAAGTACGTAATTAAGAATTCAATTCGTGGGTCCATGTGCATGTGGTATTATTTGCATCAAATTAAATAAACATTGTATTGGGAAAAAGATTTGAGGTGAGCAGACCAAGACGTACACACTTGACCAAGTTTTGGGAAAGCTATCACTGATTTTATCTCTGATAATAATCAGACTCTGTGCACTGTTCATTGGATAGAATTTAAGAAATGTACTTTTTTATAATTGATTTATGAATGTTATAATTATAAAATAACTTATAATGTCCATTGAAATATTGGGTTGAGAGATGATTGTTTAATTTGAAAGATTAGTACACTGAAATATAAACACGTCTTTGGTAAAAAAAAAGAAAAAGGAAGAGATATATAAATACGTTAATTTATTTGATTTAAGTTATCTATATTGAAAATATGAACGATATGATGATTCGAAAATATCCGATAATTTCCCAACTAATAATAATGGGAATCACAAAGGTAGGCCAACCCATGGATGACAAACGCACAAAGACGGCTATCCCTTGGCAGGTCACCCACTTTCCCGCTTCTGTGATCAAAATAAATGTTCTTTTTTTTTTCCCTCCCCAAAGCATTCTAGTTATACATAAAAATAACATCAAATATGAAGACGTATAATTTAACTTTTAGGAAAATAAAGACAAAAAAGAACCTAAAAATTGAGAAATCCCAATTGAAGCACTTAACGGTTCAAAATTCCAAGAAAAGAAGTGGTGTCTGATTTCATATTTTATAAATATAATTAAATAACTTAAATGCTCTTGTTTCAAACTTGTTATTGTCAGTAAATTTTTTGTCATCTGCTATTCAATATTTGTTATTGTCAGTTCACAACTTGTTAATAAATTTTTTGAAACAGTGACATTTTAATCATTTAACTATATTTGTAAAATACCAAATCAAATGCCACTTTCTCTCTTATAATTTTGAAATGTTACGTACCTAAATTGGAATTTCATAATTCACATGTTCTTTTTTGTCATTTTCACTAACTTTTAATGGTATCTGTTTAATTCTTTTTTTTTTTATCCTTTCTTCCAACCCAAAACCACTCACACTCATTATACTTATAAAGGGTAAAATTTACAACCTTATTAGGTGTCAGTCTTATTAGGTCATAAGGCCCCAACAACGGCA